CACACCTCACTGCTTTTAGTGAGGTTCCTTCTTCATCCTCCATTGATGAGCTCCTACACATCTTCTCGACGTCAGTTTATACCGCAGCTTCTCATTCTATACCCCAAACCTCAGGCAGGCATTCTCAGAAGTGCGTGCCTTGGTGGTCTCCTGCTTGTGCTCGTGCAGTACGTTTGAAACGTGCTGCATAGGGCAGGTACCGGTACAATAGAACTGCTGAGAGACTTCTTGATTTTAAGCAGAAGCGTGAGATCGCTCGCCGTGTCATCCGTGAAGCTAAACACACTTGTTGGCGAGACTATGTTTCCACCATCACCTCTGCTTCTTCTATGAGTGCAGTCTGGAAAAAAGTGAGGAAATTGAGTGGTAAATACTCTCCTGACCCGGCTCCTGTTCTACGGGTCGCTGGTGTTGATGTAGCAAACCCTCTCGACGTTGCCATTGAGGGCTCTATCTATGCCCCTCATTTCTTTCCTCAAAGTCTGCCAGAGAGTTAGTACCCTTGGACTTTTCTTCTCTCAGAGAAGAACAGTATAATGTACCTTTTACACTTCAAGAACTGGAGGCAACGCTCTCAGCTTGCCGATCATCGGCAGCTGGGCCTGACGACATTCATATTCGTATGTTACAACATTTACATCGGTCAGCCCTTGTAGTCCTCTTACACCTCTTCAATCTTATTTGGGCACAAGGAGTTCTTCCCCAGCTGTGGAAATCTGCCATTGTTCTCCCTTTCCGCAAACCGGGTACTACAGGACATGATGCCTCCCACTATCGCCCCATCGCTCTTACTAGTGCAGTTTGCAAAGTGATGGAACGTCTCGTAAATCGACGTTTAATGTGGTATTTAGAAACACACAACAGTCTCTCCGCTAGTCAATATGGCTTTCGTAAGGGTCGTTCTACCATAGACCCCTTACTACGCTTGGATACGTATGTTCGTAATGCCTTTGCGAATAATCACTCAGTTATTGCCATATTTTTTGACCTTGAGAAGGCATATGACACAACTTGGAGGTATAATATTTTGGCCCAGGCCCATTCCTTAGGCCTCCGAGGCAATCTACCATCCTTCCTTAAGAACTTTTTAACTGACAGACATTTCCGTGTTCGAGTCAATAATGTTCTTTCCCCGGACTTCGTCCAAGCTGAAGGTGTCCCTCAGGGATGTGTTCTAAGCACAATGCTGTTTCTCCTTGCTATAAATGATTTGGCCTCTGTTCTTTCACCCAATATTTGGTCATCACTCTATGTTGATGACTTCGCTATTGCTTGTGCAGGCGCTGACTGTCATCTTATTGCAGTTTCTCTCCAGCATGAGGTCGACCGTGTTTCCACTTGGGCCACCACGCATGGGTTTAAATTTTCAAGTACCAAAACTCACCAAATTACTTTCACTAGACGCTCTGTTATCTCCGATCATCCTTTGTATCTTTATGGTTCCCGTATCCCCGAACGTGATACAGTCAGGTTTCTAGGCCTTCTCTTTGACCGTAGGTTATCCTGGAAACCTCACATTACCTCTCTGAAGGTAACTTGTCACAGCCGGCTAAACCTTCTTTAAAACCCTTGCTCATCTTTCCTGGGGAGCTGATCGTCGAACTCTGCTTCGCCTACATTCAGCCCTCGTTTTATCGAAACTCGATTATGGTGACCAGATTTATTCTGCGGCCTCTCCTGCTACTCTCTCTAGCCTTAACTCTATCCATCACCAAGGATTACGTTTGTGCCTTGGTGCTTTTCGCTCTTCCCCTGTTGAGAGCCTCTATACAGAAGTGAATGTTCCAACCTTGTCTGATCGCTGTGATGCCCATTGCCTTCGCTACTATGTACGCTCTCACGATCTACACAATCCTTCCATTTATAGAATGGTCACCGATATTAGTAGACATTCTTTATTCGTTCGCCGCCCCTGTTTGCTCCGTCCCTTTTCTCTTCGCCTACATTCACTCTTGTCTTCCCTTCAGTTACCACCTTTATATGTTCATGTAGCATCTCACTTTTCCCTACCCCCCCTGTGAAGTTCCAGCTGTTCGGGTCTGTTCTTTCTCACTCCCTTGCTCGAAAGCTCAACTGCCTATGGTGGCTTCCCGCTCTCTTTTTCTTGATCACTTCCACTCCCATTCTCATGCCACCGCTGTGTACACAGATGGCTCTAAGTCTTCAGATGGCGTTGGATTCGCAGCAGTGTTTCCGGACAGCGTCGTGCGGGGGCATTTACTATCTTCAGCTAGCATTTTTACTGCTGAACTGTATGCCATTCTTGCAGCACTTATTCGTATCGCATCTATGCCTGTGTCATCATTTGTAGTAGTCTCAGACTCCCTTAGTGCTCTACAGGCTATACGAAAATTTGATACATCTCATCCCCTAGTTCTCCGTATCCAACTTTGGCTACGCCGTATCTCTACCAAACATAAAGATATTGTTTTTTGTTGGGTCCCTGGTCATGTCGACGTACAGGGCAATGAACAGGCAGACACTGCTGCGCGGTCAGCAGTACATGACCTACCAATTTCCTATCGAGGTGTTCCATTTCTGGACTATTTTGCCGCAATAGCTACCCACCTTCGCACCCGTTGGCAGCAACGTTGGTCAACTCTGCTCGGTAACAAACTTCATTCTGTTAAACCGAGCATAGGTTACTGGCCGTCTTCTTGTCATCAGTGCCGAGGTTGGGAGACCACTCTGTCCCGCCTTCGCATTGGCCACACTCGTCTTACTCATGGGTATCTCGTGGAGAGGCACCCTGTTCCTCTCTGTGAGCAGTGTCAAGTTCCAGTATCGATTAGCCACATTCTGTTAGACTGCCCACTCTATCAACGAGCACGCAGAATTTACCTCCAACGTCGTCTTCGTTCTACTACTCTCTCTTTACCTTCCCTTCTTGCTGATGGACCCTCCTTTAATCCTGACACTCTCATTGACTTCTTGACAACGACTGATTTACTCCACAAACTCTGATGATACTTTTCGCACTCCCCTCAACCCTTTCTAGTTCAGTCTCTTGCTGCCCTTTACCCTTTCACCATCCACTACCCTGCTGTCATCTGTAACCTATTACTCATCCATCTCCCTTTTGCCACCTGATGCCCTCACTTCCTTCCTGCCCTGCAGCGCTGTATAGTCCTTGTGGCTTAGCGCTTCTTTTTGATTATAATAATAATAATAATTGGCACTAAAATAACATATCCTCTGTTCATTAGTCACGTCTCTAGGCCCCTCTTACATTACTGTTGCTTTCTTTTGTGATTTTTTATTCATACAAAAAAAAAATTTTACTGTTATGCAGACTGCTGCATTATTATAAAAATGGTATAAATAATATCAATGCACTATTGAAAGAATATTAGACTCCCCAGTTGATGTGTATTGGAAGTGTGGTGTGATTTGCTTACACTTTGAACATTGGTAAAAATCGAACATTTCCGCTACTTTGAGCTCAATTTCAAGGTCGTTTTCATTGTGAAACTAATCAAAATCATCTCTATTTCTGCAATATATTTTATCACGCGAGACCATAAGAATGAGAATACAACGATAAATACTACACGAAAATACACCTCAAAGTTGCCGTTTTAATCGAAAAGAACGGTCAGTTTTTTTTTTTTCTCATTATGCACTGCATGCTGCAGGATTTTTATGTGGTGCACACTGACCCATTCTCTCACATGTGGGCCTACCAGCTTTTTCCTGCTTGATTTGAAGCCGCTAGAATTGTTGAGTATATACAGTGGACCCCCGCCTTACGATATTAATACGTTCCTGAGAGCTCATTGTAAGCCGAAATTATCGTTAGCCGAATTAATTTTCCCCATAAGAAATAACGGAAATCAAATTAATCCATTCCTGACACCCCAAAGTATGAAAAAAAATGTTTTACCACATAAAATATTAATTTTAATATGCACAAACTGAAGAAGACATGCACAGTTACTACTCTACTAAGAATAGAATACATGACACTTACCTTTATTGAAGATCTGGTGATGATTGATGGGAGGGGAGTGTGTGGAAGTTATTGTTTAGAAGGGGAATCCCCTTCCATTAGGACTTGAGGTAGCAAGTCCTTTTCCGGGGTTACTTCCCTTCTTTTAATGCCACTAGGACCGGCTTTGAGAGTCACTGGACCTCTGTCGCACAACAGATATGTCTATAGAGCTCTGTACCTCCCGTTCCTTTAAGACTTTCCGAAAATGGGCCATAACATTTGTCATTGTACAGGTTGCCAACACGGCTTGCAGTAGCTGTGTCAGGGTGATTTTCATCTGTAAAGATTTGCAGTTCAACCCACTTTGCACACATTTCCTTAATCTCTCTTTTCAATTCCATACTAATTCTTGTCCTTTTTACCACAGGATGGCACTAGAAGTTTTCTTGGGGTCCATGGTGACTTATTTTGCAGTTACAAGCACTAAAAACACTGGGATAATGTGAAATGTACCGAATGCATGCATAGATGCTAATTGTCATATGTACTGACAACAGTTGCATGGCTTGTAAACACTGGCGCTGAGGCCACACGTGGGATGCGTCCCGGATGAATCATGTAAGGCGAGTTTTTTACCACGAGGTGAGCAAAATTTTTGTGTTCAAATGCTTCGTATGGCGGATTTAATGTAACGCGATGCGTTCATAAGGCGGGGGTCCACTGTATACGTCTGAAACACTGGCTTATAAGACGTATATATACGACCAAAACAGTCAAAGGGTTAACATCGCTCCTTCAGAGTGCCGGCACTGTACTTCCCATCTCCAGGAATCAAGTCCGGCCTGCCGGTTTCCCTGAATCCCTTCATAAATGTTGCCTTGCTTACACTCCAACAGCACATTAAGTCCTAAAAACCATTTGTCTCTATTTGCTCCTAACACACTCATGCACGTTTTTGTGGAAGTCCAAGCCCCTCACGCACAAAACCTCTTTTTTGTTTTAATTAAGAAATATATGATTTGAATGATAGGTAATGTAAGAGTTATTAACAAGTGTCCATACTTTGCAGGAAACATTTTCAGGAACCCAGCCTGTGACACGGTCAGTGTCATCCACTAGCAGCCGCAGCTATACAGTAAACAAGGGCAGCACCAACTCAGGCCTCAGTCAGATGTCTCCTTGGTTGGTAGCTGATCCTCCAGCACCCCTTTCATCAAACAAGCTGGAGATCCCCAAGATGCGCACGGTGATAACCACGGAGCTGTAATACCACTCCACAGTCAACTTGCACTTTTTTTTTTTACAAGATAAATGTGTAATTAGGCTTATTCCTGTCTTAATGTTTACTTTTTATATTACACAGGAATTGTTGCTTAGAAATCCCATATGATAAAAGCTGACATTGTATTTGATGGTATAAGAATACATAATCTAGTTAAAAACCTCTTTCCATTAAGAGTTAAGCACAGTATATTTTTAGAAGGGATTGCAGCTATTCCTCAGTATTGTAATAGTAATATGATGTGCCTTCTCAGCCTTTCCATTATGATTAAGATAACTGTAACTATGTGTATATAATCATCTCATAATTTCCATGCTGAATGGTTAATTGTAATGATCTTTCAAAGTTTGCCTGTTCAGTAGTTACGGACATGACATAATTTTCATGGATATTGTATCAGAACATGGTTATATAATTTAAGCAATGTACTGTATTTATATGAATATTTGCTGGACTGACATTATGAATGTCTCAGTGTATCTAATCAGCTCTCTTGTCAAGTTTTCAAAGGAAATTTGCTTGAAGTTTTAATGATTGACAGTAATTGGAAAAATCATACTAACTTACTTTATTTTGCTGAAATAATAAGCATCTTAAACAAAACTTTAAACTCTAAGAGGATTAGGTCAGAATATTTATTGAGTTGCATTGTTTTGGGCTTGTCAGATATATAAGAAAAAGGAAATGCCTGTATGATATACAGTGGACCCCCGGTTAACGATATTTTTTCACTCCATAAGTATGTTCAGGTGCCAGTACTGACCGAATTTATTCCCATAAGGAATATTGTGAAGTAGATTAGTCCATTTCAGACCCCCAAACATACACGTACAAACGCACTTACATAATTGGTCGCATTCGGAGGTAATCGTTATGCGGGGGTCCACTGTATTGTATAAGATTTATATTCTTAGTAGATCTGATTGTTATTGGTAAACAATATTACTTCACAATTTTTGGGGGGCAGTATTTAAAAATTCACAGTCAGAAGTGTAAGTCAACAGTAATTAACCTGTTAAACTGTCCAAACAGATCTACGTTCACATGCGTAGTGCTCCAAAAGTAGATTACGTTTTTTTTTACATATTTTTAAATATAACAAAAAATGTAGATCAAAGTTTTTTTTTCACGTTTTCAAATGTAAAATAAGAAAAAGAAGCTCTACGGTGTTTTTACATACTTTCAAATGTTGAAAAAAAGTAGATCTACGTTTGGACATTTTAAGGGTTAAATTACTGTATAATGGTATGTGTAGGCTTGTGATGTCCAGATGGTTTTATGACATACCTGATTTGGATTTAATGAACTTATGAAATCTAAATTGAGAATGGCTTAAGCATTACCTGTAACTAAATAGATGTATCAAATATTTGGTTTTAATTTTGAAGATCATAAATTATTTTGATTGATCTTACAATTAACTATTCCTCATTTAATAGTAACAATGAATATCCTTCACATACTGTGTATGAAATACTGTATTTGAGTTTGTGTGCAGCAAAATGCCTCAGAATTTTAAGAGCTAAATGCAGTGTTTCCCTGGTCTTGGGTCAGTACCAGTTTGTTGCAGTTCCTGCTCCTGGCCCCCTATCTGTGTATAGGGATTTTGCTTCCTGCACATGTACATTTTGTAGTTGTGTTTAGAAGTGAAAAGATGCAATTTGTCGTTGAATAATGAAGATGCTCAGTGTGCCAAATTCTGTGCAATATTATATATCAAGCCTTATTGATAGGTCTTCAGCAAAACACATTTGCAGAATTTCTTCTAACAAGATTTTAAGTACAGTGTGCTTTTCATTCTTTTTGCCTTCATTTCCTTTGGATCTTTATCAAGATCCCCAAAGTAGGATAGTGTCAAAATAGGGAAAAATTTAAACATGCAAGCATAACCTTGATTTTTTTTTTTTTGCTTATCCTAGGACCTTATTTAGACTAGTTTATTTTTTCTATAATTTGGTGGTAGGACTTTAAAAAAAAAAAATAATGGTATCAGGAGTGCAGGGGGTGCAGTATTGTGACCCAGTATGCAGCACCTGTTGTAACTGACCCAAAACTGTTGGAGCTCATGCTCTTGGCTGTGGTATAGACTGGATCTTTACATATAGTAATATGGTCTACATTATGTGCAGCAGAGCATAGCCATGTGTTTATAATAATTTTCTTATGAAAGGACCAATTTCATACCTGAAATATATTTTTATAGGGTCATTTTGCTGTAGATGTCTTATGATTCAGGTTAATTGCAGCTCTAAGTTTTACAGTAATTACTTTTCTTTGATAATGCAAATGTTCAATAATTTTCATAGTTTCATCATTGTACTGCATTTCATAAATTGAATAATATAAGTAGTGTTAAAGCTATGGCAGCTTGGATAACTAACCTCAAGATTGGTAATGAGATAATATTGCTACCAAGTGTTATTTGTACAGTGAAGGTGTAATATATGTGTGATACATTGTTTTGTATTATTTTCCTTTGTATAAATTACTTTGTATTGTGGTATAAACCTTGGTAATAAATACCGACAAGTTGGTTTAGAAAGACACGTAAGCAAACACTATAACATATTTATTAGAAAACGTTTCGGTCCTGGAACCTTGATCAAGGTTCCAGGACCGAAACGTTTTCTAATAAATATGTTATAGTGTTTGCTTACGTGTCTTTCTAAACCCACTTTGTATTGTACCACCTTTTCAGTTTAAGAAAATTACAACACGGTATCATTATAATAATGGGGAAGCACTAAACCTGTAGGAATATATAGCACCTGTAGGGGGGGAGGGGAGAATGGAAGTTATTCAGGGAACTGGAGCATAGATCCAATTCCCTAGATCAAGAGCCCTTCACCAGCATCAAGGAACCTCCCTTGAGGAGACAAAACAGTTGTAAAACTTATACTTGAACTCATTGTAAGCCAGTTCTAAAATTTCAACTAACATGTCTGCTCTGCAAGTTTTGGGATTGACCTGGTATTGTATGCACTATACTTCCTCATCATTTTGGATAAGAAGTTTGAGGCCAAACTCCCAAAGGTAGGTTTCCTGATACTGGTGAGGGGTTCTTGATCCAAGAAATGGGGAACCCTTTGGATCAAACCCAATTACCTCCCATTCCCCAGGTGCTGTGTGACCCCCAATTACAATTAAAACTAAGACTAAATCACTGGGGTCATATAGCACATGACCCCTATAGATAAAGCATTTTCCTCTATTTTTAATAATGTAGGCCAAGGTCTAGGTGCAGCAGTGCTGTATGACCCAAGTGGGTTTAGTGCTTGGTTTTGACTGTAATCTAGGTGCTGTCCATGCATATAATAATTGCATCAATATAAAATTATCTAAAGAGGTAGATCCACCTTTGACACATATTCCCTCTCTGACTTTGTCAGCAACAGATTTATTTGGGTTTAGCATTTAATATGATTATTAAAATAATCATTAACATTTATTACACCAACTTCAGCCGGGTCGCCATCTGGAGAAGACCCGGGCCGGAAGTACCGGCGAACCTACATGAATGAATGACCAACTTCAATTACACAGTAGGGCCCCACTTATACAGCAGGTTGGATTCTAGGTTACTGCCGTAAAGTGGAAAGCCATTTTTTTTTCCATGTAAATTCCAGATAAGTTTACACTAACATATATTAACAGTAGAACTACGCATTAAAAACAATAAAAAGTAACACATGTACACAGTACATTAATTACTTACCATAAAATATTTGTAGTCTTAATGTAGGTTGAGAGGTGAGTAGCATTAATTGCATGAAGTCATGTGTGGTAGCTCCCACAGAACAGTTTAGATGTCACTCCAAACCCCTCCTTTAAAGTGCATGCACTGTACTTCCCACCTCTAAGACTCGAGTTCGGCTAACTGGTTTCCCTGAATCCCTTCACATACAGCAGGCGTGTTCACACATGCCTGCTGCATGTCCAAGCCCCCTTGCACATACAACCTCTTTTACCCCCTTCCTCCATCCTTTCCTAGGATGAGCCCTACCCCTCCACTACAGATTTATACATCCTCCAAGTGATTATAGTAAAAATATTGCAAAACTTGTTGCAAACAAGTTGACAAAGAGGGGAGAGAATTATTTCAAGTACCATGCTAAATGTTTGTTAATCAAGCATTCTAACAATTTACAATGAGAACTAGTAAGAGCAATGGATCTGTATTGAGAGACGTCACAGGCTACCATAGGCTAATTAATAAACATCAGGGGTGCACAGTGCACCTTTAGCACTCATTGCAACAAGGTTAAATTGAGGAATAAATGTTTGCAAAGTGAAAAATTGTAAGAAGCACCTCCTACCACCTAGTAGTTCAAAAACAAACAATAACACGCCGAGCGCTTTCATACATCATTTGTCATGCATTTGTACGATTATTGTATACGTTATATATTTTAATTTTACTATAATTTGTATTCATTCCCAGCAGCTCAGGGTGCAAAGTGGGAACCAACTGGACAAGATGCCATTCCACAGCACTCTCTCACACACCCACCCACTCATACGGGGACAATTTAAACACACCAAGTAACCTAACATGCACATCTTTGGGATGTGGGAGGAAACAGGAGCATTTGGAGAAAACCCACGCAGACATGGGGAGAACATACAAACTCCACATAGACAGTGGCCCTGGCTGGGAATAAATTTTTCTCGTCAACATTATAACAAAACGACGTTAAGTGAGGACTTACTGTACTTTGCTTATGAAGACAGAGGACAACAACAGTTTACTACTGTAGAGGAAGAACTCCTTGGAATCAAACAAGATTGAAAAGGTACAAGAAGATGATGAGCAACACAGAATGTGAATGTTGAAGCAAAGTCATGAAAGTTATCACACAGCCTCCAGGGATACGCCTGTCACCAAGGACACATGAAGCTACTCTATGGAGCTCAGGGCAGCTCAGTGTATCCCCAGATGCTCCAATTTCCACAGCAAATACTACCACCACCACTGAAGGCCTTGGTGGAATGGGTTGGAAAACAATCCTTTGCCCTTCAACCTAGGAGTTGTAATGTACATACATACGAGGGAAATATCCACATAGGTCAAATGGAGAGGGAAGGGGTGAGGGTAATCAGATATGATCAGAGAAAGTAGACAAAAGGTGTAATTCCTTGAATCAAAAGCCCTTCACCATGTCAAGGGAACCCCCACCCCACCAAAGTAGGGTGACCCAAAAAGAAAGAAAAAACTTTCATCATTCAACACTTTCACCATCACCCATACATAATTACTGTCTTTGCAGAGGCGCTCAGATACAACAGTTTAGACATCCCTGCAAACTGCCATAATAATACAGTGGAACCCCGGTTTTCGTCCTTAATCCATTCCAGAAGGTTGGTCTAAATCCAAAATGGACGAAAACCGAAGTAATATTTCCCATAAGAAATAATGTAAATCCAATTAATCTGTTCCACACACCCAAAAAACTAACAAAAAATACATTTTATAGAAAATAACTATAGTTTTACATACAGAAAACAATGAGAAATAAATATAAATGACTAATGAAATGGATAAATGAACATTTAAATCACTATTATATACCTTTATTGAAGACTTGGTGTATGGACCAGCTCGAGAGTCACTGTACCCCTGTTGCACATAAAATCTGTCCAGAGAGCTCTGTTTCTGGTGTCTCTAAGATTTGCCTAAAATGGGACAAGGCATTGTCACTGAACATGTTGCAGACACGGTTTGCAACAGTTTTGTTAGGGTGATAATTCTCCACAAAACTTTCCACCTCACTCCACTTTGCACAAATGTCCTTAATCACTGAAGAAAGCACATTCTCCCCTCTCTCTTCCTCCTCCTCTGAAGCAATTTCTTCAGCTGCAATCTATTGCTGTTCCAGTTGAAGGTCTTGCATCTTTTCGGTGGTTAGCTCTTCCCTGTGGTCTTCCATCAACTCTTCCACATCCTGGCCACTCACATCCAACCCCATGGACTTCCCCAGACACAATACATTCCACAATAGGCATAGGGTCATCAGGGTGAGCCTCAAACCCTTCAAAATCCTTCTCGAGGACACATTCTGACCACAATTTTCTCCAAGCAGAGTTCATCGTCCTGGAAGCCACTTCCTGCCAAGCCTTATCTATAAGGCTTATGCAATTGAGGATATTGAGGCGATTCCTCCAGAACTCTCTTAAAGTCAATTCAGTGTCTGAGGTCACTTCAAAGCACCTTTGAAACACTGCTTTGGTGTAGAGTTTTTTTAAGTTTGAAATGACCTGCTGGTCCATGGGCTGGATGAGAGGAGTGGGATTAGAAGGCAAGTACTTCACTGTGATGAAACTAAACTCCTCCAACAATTGGTCACCCAAGTCTGGAGGATGAGCAGGAGCAATGTCCATTACCAGGAGGCACTTGAGTGGCAATTTATTTTCCAGGAGGTATTTCTTCACATTTCATTGACCCACTCAATGAAAATTAGCCTAGTGACCCATGCCTTATTGTTAGTCTTCCACATCACACACAATTTACTCCTCATGACATTGTTTTTCTTGAACACTTGGGGATTTTCAGAGTGATACACCAGTAAAGGCTTCACTTTGAAATCCCCACTAGCATTACCACAGAACAAAAGAGTTAGCCTATCCTTCATAGGGTTGTGTCCTGGCAATGCCTTTTCCTCCTGCGTGATGTAGGTTCTCTTTGGCACTTTCTTCCGAAAGAGGCGTTTCATCACACTTGTACACTTGTTGGGGGAGGAATCCTTCAGCTTTTACATACTCCTGGAATTCATCAATGAATTCTTCAGCCACACATTTGTCTGAACTTGCAGCCTAGTGATGCCTTACCACACTGTGTATGCCACTTCACTTCTTGAATCTGTCGAACCAGCCTTTGCTGGCTTTAAATTCACTAATAGCAGCACTCGTTCCAGGCAATTTTCTTTACGAGATCCACATGCAACTGCCTTGCCTTTTCGCAAATTATCCCCTCCACAACATTATCTCCCACTAACTGTTTTTCGTTGATCCACACCAACAAGTTCTCCACATCTTCAATTGTTTGTTATCTCTGTTTCATTAGCATATTTTCCCCTTTTGCAACATCAGCTTCCTTGATTTCTACTTTCTTTGCCAGGATGAAAATGATTGTTGATTTGGACTTGCCATACATCCTGGTAAGCTCGGCCACACATACACTACTTTTGTATTTTGCTACAAGCTCTTTCTTGAATTCTATTGTGTTTCTCACCTTCTTTATCAAAGAGCTGGCACTAGAAACTTTCTTTGGCCCCAAGGTGTCTTATTTTGCAGTTGCACTCAATAAACAAGCACAAAAAACAACGGATTATTACGAAATGTTTCAGATGAATGTGCATAGCACTGCTCACTGAACAAGCGACAGAAGCCTACTGAGTCACGTATGTGTAAGCAGCTGCATCCTGGGTGGGCGGATGCATCTGACACGAACAAATTCCCAGCGGAGGTACGAAACCCGGGGTAAAATTTCACCCAAAAAAGTGGTTGAAATCCAAATTGTATGACATTTGCAGCAGACGAAATCCAGAGTTCCACTGTATTACCAAAAGTTTATAATCAGAACAACGTGAACATTTTATAATTAGAGACCCTGGGAATGGTCTGTAACTTCTACTTTTATTAAAAGAACATTAAAACACAACGTTTTGTTTTAACTTTAATACTGTTATCTAAAGCTTCAGAAGACAGGAGAATAGTTTGAAGTCACATGTATAGGTGAAATATCATGAAAGGACATTAAAATCTTTTTGTGCCCAAGTTTGTGAGGAATTCTGATCTAATTAAAATAACTGTTACATTCTAGTTTGCATAAAATATGAGCTGAATAATTGCTATTCTATTGAAACTAAGGTAGTGAATGAAAAAAGAGAATTTACCAAAAATCTGTAGTAATGTGACACATGGGAGTGAATTTTTAGTTTTATCTACACTTCTATTGCTAACATACACGTCTTTTATCAAACCTTCCCCTATCCACTAGGATATTTCTGGTGACTGCCCACATAAAAATACAAAACAGATTACGTATTAGCTATGATAAGTGGAATTAGTGTATTTTGGCATGCAACATTTCAACTTTTATAGTAAGCTACTTTAAATGGTATAGTTAATATTTTATTAAACTGAAACCAAACTTGTGCTACAAAGACAGTTTTACAACAGTTACTTACTTTACAGACATATAGTCCTCATTCTATAAACCAGATCTGAATACCAATGAAAAAGTAAGAGAAATAACATTCAATACTTTATCAGCACATGGTGCCTTAACTGTCAGAGAAAAGAAATATAAATCACTTAAAAATGTAGGAAAAAATAATATTCTGTTTTATAATATATATAATCTACAAACTAAGGTTAGGGAAGAAAAAAATAGTTTTAATATGCTCTTCCATCAAATGTATTATCATAGTACTGTAATTTGCAATACATTACCCCTTTCTAAGGATAAAAGACCCACATTCAGAGTTGAAAAAAGCTGTAATTTCTGTGAAGGAAAATGTACATAGTATCAACTTCTTGTAACACTTAACACAAGGAATCATTACTACATTATGATAATGAGAATGATTATATAAAGTTACAATAGTGTAGTAAACATTCATAGAGTTGTAGTGTTCTGTGCACCTCATTGGCCTTTGTTTTGTGAGCACAGGTTGTGAGAGCAATTTCAGTCACTGGTGCTTACATGACAGTTAAAGGGAGAAAATTTTATATTATTCTCCAGTAAATTCCTGAAATGTGACTAATTCCACACTAAACATGCAATGAGCCTCATTCAAATTAAATGAATAAAAGAAAAAAATTGAAGTACTGTAATCACACTGAGCTGTTTTTGTAGAAAACTGACCTAAGATCTTGAGTGCTCCTCAAGTAACATTAATAAAGCAGTTGTATTTTTTTATATCAATGAATTATTAATATGACATTAACCCAATAGGCTTCTTATTATTTAATTATACTGTTGCTATCTTGATGTGTTCCAGATTTGTAGGTTGCAAATAAGAATGAATCATAATTGCTTGGGTATCATAAGAAATTTGTACAGAAAAATCTAAGTTTTTACTAATCTACTATGAAAAACATCAAAGGAGTTATCAGAATGGGAAGAGGGGGAGATAAGAAGTTCAATCATTTACAATGAAAAAAGAACCAAGAGTTTGTGCACAATGCTGACACCAAACTCACTATACTATGTACAATGTATCAGTATGTGTAATCAAACTTCAAAAAAGTCACTGAATGCTATCTAATTATTTTGTACATTTTGCAGATTGTGATGGATGGGAATGACCACTGGTCAAGTGTGTGGGAAATGCCAAGCAACTGCATGACTTGGGAGCCTTAGAGTGAAATATTTTATTTTGATAAAGAATTAACCAAAAGTGGCACCATGGTCTTATTACCATACATATACTATGCTGACCTAATTTACTAAAAGACCTAACTTTAGTAAACCTAAAAAGAAAACATACAATTTTTTCTTTCTTTCTTTCTTTCTTTCAACACACCGGCCGTATCCCACCGAGGCAGGGTGGCCCAAAAGGAAAAACAAAAGTTTCTCCTTTTACATTTAGTAATATATACAGGAGAAGAGGTTACTAGCCCCTTGCTCCCGGCATTTTAGTCACCTCTTACAACACGCATGGCTTACAGAGGAAGAATTCTGTTCCACTTCCCCATGGAGAAAAACATACAATTGAAAAACTTAAAATTTAAGTATGGCAGTGAAAATGTGTAAAAAAGTACTACAAGTTAGCATGTAATATTAAACATTAAAATCCTGAGCTAAACATGAAATTCAAAGGTAGGTATATATCCATTTACATAATGAGAAACTTGTACAACACAGATATAGCTGGATATTAAATACTATGATCTCTGAAAGTGGATTACATGAAGTACTTGAAAAGGTTGTCCAGTGTAGCGAACTCAGAACAAGCCAGAGTTCTCTTGGAGCCCACATCACCAAGACCACATATATACAGTATATGTAAGTAACAGTATTATCATTAAAATTTTAAAAGGCTGTTTTGATGTCATACAGGAATCCATATTGACAAATCAAATACACGTACTTCTGTTAAAAAATGAAGATTAAAATACTAAATCTTTTGTGTTCACATTATCAGGTATAATATGAATATAAATATGAATGCCTTCACATTCTTTAATTCTCATTCTCTCTCTCATTCTCTCTATCTCTCTCACATACACCAATGTTGTATAAAGGAAAAAAATTACTAATAAGGCATACTAAAATTTACAAATGTAACAATATGCGAGGAAAAAAGAACTGCTGGATCGAGCTTGTGACCCTCAGTGTAAGGCACACAAGTTACCCCTGTTGCATGGACACGCAGAATACTAAATATACTATATTGAAATAGACCCTGGATCAACTGTACTACAATGATCAATTTCAACATTTACCAAGCCAGTGGCACAGAAGCAGAGTATGCACATCAAACACTGAAAATACAAGTTCAGGCCCAAACTATTCCTCTTCAAACTGTTACATATGCAACATAATGATTTTTTGTATTATATACAGTACTGTATATGAAATATCCAAAATAAGGATGGCTAATTAAGCATCCATTTTTTTTATATATGCCCTCAGTCATAAACTACAAGGCATAATTTTGTATGAAATAGAAAAAAAAAAGCAGGTTGGTAGTTTCTAGCAATGCTAAATTGGATGGGTACACAGGAATTGTTAGGGTTTTGATAAGGCCTCAGTAATAGTTAACTAATGTTCTGTACAATGACTGCTGTCACGCATACTGTATTTACTAGAGTGTAATATTATAACACTTGCTTTGCAATCAATATTATTCAATTTTTAAAGGCATATGATGCTTATTCTGTCAAAAATGTGAGAAGATTCTTGTGAAAGAAAAAGTAATACAGAATTTGTGTAATATTTCATTTAATCTTATCCAAAATGTCTGAATTTTCTAATTAGCATAATTTTTAGATACTAAATTTTCATACACATTAGCATGAAGAAACAAAACTACAAGACTTTAAATGTAAACGTCTAACATTGAACAACCTTTAGACTTGCCATTAATCTTGGTGATGGAAGATATCACTCTTGTAAGTACTGTCATACCCTGAATATCTTTTACACAGTACGGATGCTCTGTAAAATAAGAAAAAAGTAGTATTTATAATCAATACATTTATTAAATATAGCAGATGTTTCTTTAGAGCATTACTAAACCAAACGCCTCTTATAATACAAATGTCATATTTGAATTATTCTTTATGTTGTATAAACTTGGTTACTTAATGCAGTAATGTAGTACTAATTTTCTAAAAGGCTATTTATGACAAAAGATGTGATCAAATAAAAATGATAATGTGGAATAATGGCTACAAGTCAATAAATGGGGGTAGAAAGACACATACTGCAAAGAACCTTTTATTTATATGATCTTTAACCCACCGGGGTAACAAATTCAGCAGCATATATAACAGCGTAAAAGTGTAATTGCAGGTCAGGTGATGCCAAGCAAATTTGAATTACAGATCTGTGGAGTTAGGATGTACACTTTTTCAAAACTAGTTCCATGTATTTTAAATTAACGCAGAAAAATGCAAATTTCCCGACTTGACTCCAAAATCTAAACCTTCCCTAGTGTTACCTGACTTCCAGATTTTGAATTTGCCCACAGTTGATGTCACCTGACCCTCCATGCTTCATACGCTGCTGATTTTGTGTTCCTTATACAGTACTTGACAAAGCTCCGGTGGGATTATTATTACACACAAAATGTGCTCAACCCACTCTCATTGGGTGGAACCAAAAACAAAAAGGTTCTTTGCCATATGTATCTTTATACGGCTGTACCAAAGACAAAAAAACTTAAGTCTTAAGGCAGTGGATGTTTTGCTGGACACTGGCCAGGCACCAAATAACTATAGTAAACCCCTGATATGACAAACCTCAATATAATAAACTTTTAAAATTATGGGTAAAATCTACTGGATACACTGTAATTTTAATTCCTTTATTTTCACTGTTTATCACAAAATATCTGTAAACTGTGTATACAGTATTATATCGGGTATGCAATAGTTTTTTCTCCTATTTTTTGATACTGTACCAATTTAATGAACATCCTGACAATTCCTATTAGTCTTTTATATTGAGGGTTTACTGTATGGTAATTTCCCCTGTGCAGTTCTGACTGGTTGAAACACTATTTGGGAAGTTGCATCACCTAAGCTGCTATTGTCAATTCTGAAATGTTTAATATGGAATTCAGAATTAAAAGTGTATGAGCAGGGAGACTAACCTCTACCTTATAATTTTGGTTTCGCCACCTCCCTCAAGAAGATTTTCTTCCTTTTGCTGTATTATCGTTTGAACATTTTGGAGTAAAAGTTTTAAGTGCTAAGGGCTTGGATATCCAACAGACTTGTTGCTATGAGCGTGTTACATAGGAGTGGAAGCAAGGTATTTTATGATTTGATGTGATGTTGGAGTGAGAGTAAGAGTAACACTTATGAAGGAATTCAGGAAACCGATTAGCCGGACTTCAGTCCTGGGGGTGGAAGTACAGCGCCTGCACTCTGGAGGAGGGATAGGGATGTTACAGTTTGGAAGGTCATATGATCAGTGATGTCAGCACCCTTCTGGCAAGACAGTGAAAGTGCTTTCCTCTTTGCTGGGTCACCTTACCTTGGTGGAAGATAACTGGGGTGTTAATTTTTTTTTTAAATTCATTGTATTACTCTCAGAAACAAACATGAAAAAAAAAAAATCCTTAGCAGTAATATTATGGTAATTACATTGATATTCTTATTGTGTAGTTATGGAGCAAACTACATTTGCATGTGGTCACATATACCATGTGATCAACACTTATCACAAAAATGTATGATCAGTTAATGGGGTTTACTCTATTGCTACAATTTTTTTTTACATGTTACACTGTACTCACTTGTATAACACAAAGAGTGACCAGGCATGTTTCCGTTTTTCTTATATACGTCTATTGCTGTTTTCATCAGATCATTGCATCTGCTGTACAATCAAGCCTCTGTATTTACTAGAGAGTTCTTTGCTAAAATCAGGATCTCAAAGTTTTGGTTTCATGTAGGTCATTTTAGGGTTTCAATATACCCCAAAAGTCAGAATGTTAAAGCTAGTAGAGACAGCACCAGAGTTGAAAAATTAGCACACATACATACGTACAAGCATGCGTGTGTGTAGGACCAAAGCGTCGTATTTGCTACCTAATTTGGAAGAATTAGACGAGCTCTCCTTGCCTTTTGATAAGTATACCATTATTGAACTGATTAAGTTGTACATAGTTGATTGCAAGTTTGAGTTTGAAGGGAAATACCATGCTCAAAGGCAAAGAATGGCTATGGGTAATCCACTGTTTTTCCAACTGAGCAATTTGTATAAGTAGTTTTTCAAGACTAAGCTGTTGAAAGGTATCCCTCTCTGTAAAGCAGAATTACCAGGCAATCAGCATTATTGGACACTATCTTTCCCATACTAGTATAGTACAGTAAATAGAAGCTTTACTGTATATTTATTTGGTGTAAGTGAGGTGAGTTCCCATATGTTTGAAACAACCTAGTAAGAAAATAACTTCTATTTTTACATTACTGATGTGTAAGAAGTTGGTATCAAGTGATAAACACCATTATATCCACTCGTCCCAACAGCCCTATGTTAATCCTCCTCACACTCTTCAAATGCTTAAAGTAATGACTAATAAAGTGATGCAAGTTATACTGTAGAATAGTAAAAAAATATATTTGATTTTATTACCCAGAAGCTCACTTGGTAGTGAATTATGTAATGGACTACTTACGTACTGGGTGCACTCAACATTTATATCTGCCATACTACTACTGTAATACCTGTACATAAATCTAACACCTAAACACCTACATAGAATACATCAATATGAAAAATCTGAAAATCAATTAGGAGACAATTACCTCTATAATAAAATAATATTTATTCATTCAGGGTTAACTATGGCTGGAAAAAAAACAGTTGTATTTCACAAGAGGTACCTTCACATCTAACAATGAACAAAATAAATGTAAAGTACTTAATATCACTGCAATATGAACACAGGTGCCTTTACTACTGTACATGCATTGTGAAAGTGTAAAAAAGATTTTTTTTAATAATAAATGATGCATTACGCACACAAAAATATTTTTTGTAAAGTGCAGGTTGTGTAAAACAAAGAAAAGGGTAGAAGTGTAGGTGTTCATCTTACTTCTCTAAAATATCCTCCACACATCCAAATTAGGAAATGAAGATTAGCGTTGGGATGAAGGACTTGCCCAAGCAGCTTTAGATGACTGGGAATCCGATATGCCCTTCAGAGAAATAGGAGGAATGTGTGGGTCAAAAGTCCAAAATAGGTCTTAAACAACCATTAGTTTGCTCTTTAATGAGGAGAGCAGAGAGATAAGTATGAAAAAGAGAAATAAAACAAAAGTTTCAAGAGGCAGTAATGGAAGAACTGGGGGACAAAATTAAGAGGAAAGGAAGCAAAGGGTAGGGACCATTCTTCTGTCTCTTACTCCTCCCTATTTCTATTAGAAAATAAGTATGAAGACTGAAATAGAGGAAGGGAAAACAATAAAGGTGGAGAAGCATGGAAGAAAAAATATAATTTTAGGGATAGGAACAGAGGGAGGAAAGAATAAGAAATAAACGAGTAGGAACAATAGAAGATGACCAGGGTAGAAGTTAATACTGTAATAAACTTAACACAGACCTGAAGCAGAAGTAGGTGATAAGAGATTTAGAGAAATTAAGAGAGAAATAAGGAAAAAACATAAGTGTTAAAGCTACAACAAATAAACTAAGCCCAAGTTATGGCTCTTACCATGAAATTATTTCTCATTCTCAAAACTATTTTCAATTAGAGAATTTTAATGTTTAAATTATGAATTTTTACTTTTCTTTAATTGATTTATGTATATTCTAATTTCAAAATTTAGTTTCCCAAATTTTGAAAACTCAAAAGAATAGAGTCCCACATAAGAAATTGTTGCATCTCATTATTCTGCTAAGCAAGTAATTGAAAATAACCTGTAATACATCATTTACATGAGCTCAATCTGAATGGATTTTTTTTTTTTTTTAACAAGTCGGCCGTCTCCCACCAAGGCAGGGTGACCCAAAAAGAGAGAAAATCCCCAAAAAGAAAATACTTTCATCATTCAACACTTTCACCTCACACATAATCATTGTTTTTGCAGAGGTGCTCAGAACACAACAGTTTAGAAGCATATACGTATAAAGATACACAACATATCCCTCCAAACTGCTAATATCCCGAAACCCCTCCATTAGAGTGCAGGCATTGTACAGTGGACCCCCGCATACCGTTGGCCTTACATAACGTTAAATCCGTATACCGATACATTTTATCGCTAAGATTTTGCCTCACATACCGCTAAAAAACCCGCTCAACGCTGTTCGTCCGAGACACGTCTAATGTGCGGCCTTAGCCAGCCTCACATGTTCCGCCGGTGGCACTGTTTACCAGCCAGCCTCCGCGGTAACATCCAAGCATACAATCGAAACATTTCGTATTATTACAGTGTTTTTGGTGATTTTATCTGCAAAATAAGTGACCATGGGCCCCAAGAAAGCTTCTAGTGCCAACCCTACAGGAATAAGGGTGAGAATTACTATACAGATGAAGAAAGAGATCAATGATAAGTATGAAAGTGGAGTGCATGTCTCCGAGCTGGCCAGGTTGTATAATAAACCCAGTCAACCATCGCTACTATTGTGGGCAACAAAAAGGCAATCAAGGAAGCTGTTCTTGCCAAAGGTTCAACTGTGTTTTCGAAACAGAGATCGCAAGTGATGGAAGATGTTGAGAGACTCTTATTGGTGTGGATAAATGAAAAACAGATAGCAGGAGATAGCATCTCTCAAGTGATCATAAGTGAAAAGGCTAGGAAGTTGCATCAGGATTTAATTAAAAAATGCCTGCAACTAGTGATGATGCGAGTGAATTTAAGGCCAGCAAAGGTTGGTTTGAGAGATTTAAGAAGTGTAGTGGCATATATAGTGTGATAAGGCATGGTGAGGCTGCCAGTTCAGACCACAAAGCAGCTGAAAAATATGTGCAGGAATTCAAGGAGTACATAGACAGTGAAGGACTGAAACCTGAACAAGTGTTTAATTGTGATGAAACAGGCCTGTTTTGGAAGAAAATGCCAAGCAGGACCTACATTACTCAGGAGGAAAAGGCACTCCCAGGACATAAGCCTATGAAAGACAGGCTTACTCTGTTGATGTGTTCCAATGCTAGTGGTGATTGCAAAGTGATGCCTTTATTAGTGTATCACTCAGAAACTCCCAGAGCGTTCAGGCAAAAGAATATCCTCAAGGCTAATTTGTCTGTGTTGTGGAGGGCAAACAGTAAGGCATGGGTCACTAGGGACTTTTTCTATGACTGGTTACACCATGCATTTGCCCCCAATGTGAAAGATTACCTAACTGAAAAGAAATTAGACCTTAAGTGCCTCCTGGTGTTAGACAATGCCACTGGTCATCCTACAGATGTGGCAGAGCGACTTTATGGGGACCTGAGGTTCATTAAGGTGAAGTTTTTGCCTCCTAAATCCACTCCTCTCCTGCAGCCCATGGACCAGCAGGTTACTGCAAACTTCAAAAAACTGTACACAAAAGCTCTGTTTGAAAGGTGCTTTGTAGTGACCTCAAACTCAAATGACTAAGAGAGTTTTGGAGAGAGAACTTTAATATCCTCAATTGTGTAAACCTTATAGGTAAGGCTTGGGAGGGAGTGACTAAGAGGACCTTGAACTCTGCTTGGAAGAAACTGTGGCCAGAATGTGTAGACCAAAGGGATTTTGAAGGGTTTGAGGCTAACCCTAGGAATCCTATGCCAGTTGAGGAATCAATTGTGGCATTGGGGAAGTCCTTGGGGTTGGAGGTTAGTGGGGATGATGTGGAAGAGTTGGTGGAGGAGGACAATGAAGAACTAACCACTGATGAGCTGCTAGATCAACTTCAACAGCAAGAGGCCAGACCTGAGGAAACTGGTTCGGAGGAGGGGAGAGAGAAATTGAAGAAGTTGCCTACTACAAAGATCAAGGAAATCTGTGCAATGTGGCTGAAAGTGCTATTGCAAGCCGTGCTGGTGACTATTACACTGACAATGTTGTGAAACACTTTAGGGAAGTCATAAAGGAACGAGAGGTACAGGCCACTATGGACAGATATGTTGTGCGACAGAAGTCCAGTGACTCTGAAGCTGGTCCTAGTGGCATTAAAAGAAGAAGGGAAGTAACCCCAGAAAAGGACTTGACACCTCAAGTCTTAATGGAAGGGGATTCCCCTTCTAAACATTAAGACTCTCTCCTCCTCCCATCCCATCAATCATCACCAGATCTTCAATAAAGGTAAGTGTCATGTAATTGTGCATGCCTTTTTCAGTTTGTGTGTATTAAAATTAATATTTCATGTGGTAAAAATGTTTTTTTTTCATACTTTGGGGTGTCTTGCACGGATTAATTTGATTTCCATTATTTCTTATGGGGAAAATTCATTCGCATAACGATAATTTCGCATAACAATGAGCTCTCATGAACGGATTAATATCGTTATGCGGGGGTCCACTGTACTTCCCATTTCCAGGACTTAAGTCCGGCTATATAAAAATAACCGGTTTCCCTGAATCCCTTCACTAAATATTACCCTGCTCACACTCCAACAGATCGTCAGGTCCCAAATACCATTCGTCTCCAATCACTCCTATCGAACACACTCATGCACGCCTGCTGGAAATCCAAGCCCCTCGCCCACAAAACCTCCCTTACCCCTTCCTTCCAACCTCTTCGAGGACGACCCCTACCCCGCCTTCCTTCTACAGATTTAATAAAAAACTGTTCCAGTAAACTGCAGAATTTACTGATTTTACCTCTGAGATTCTTTTTTAAACACGAGTTTTCACACATACACTAATTCCATCAACGAACAATGAATACAGTAGAACCCCCATATCCACTGATTCAGTATCCAAAGCACAAAAGTAGAGGAGTTGGCAGTTTTTCAAAGCCTAAGAGAAGCCGTGAAGTGCTCCCCATCAGTGAAAGTGATAATTCTCCACTTATTGTGCATAATTTATAAATTAAACTTTATACGTAACAGGTAAGTACAGGTCTCCCTCAACATTCACGTTTTCAACTTTCACGGGCTTCACACATTCGCGAATTCCCAACCGCCAAATTCCCAGCCACCAAATTCCCAGCCGCCAAATCATATTTAAGTTTCCCGCCACCTGTGAGTCCCTACTACCCTCCCTCCGACCCCCGCAACTGGCAGCCAGCACTCCCACCACTCAGTGTGGTGAGTGTTTTGTTTATTCATTATTTGCTATTAAACTACAGTATAAATAATGTAAACCCATTCATGACTGCATATTGGAATGGCTATTCGAACAGGTATTAGACGGTGACATCATGCGTTTATTCTTTAACACTGCAAAGAATTAAACATTTCTGCTACAGCTAATAATAACAATAGTAGTAGTAATAATAATAATAATAATAATAATAATAATAATAATAATAAATATGATATAATTGAAGAAGGAAATTGTACAAAAATACGAGGGAGTGGTTGACACATCGTCAGTGTGACTTTGTTTATGCTGGAGTGAACATTAGTCTCCCTGCTCTTCCAAACATTTCACAATAATTCATTGTGTTTGGTGCTTGTAGATTGAGTGTGACTGGAGTGGTAGAGGCAGTGATTGAGGCAATGGTATTTAATAACATACATGTTAATAATAATACATGTTATTAATTTTTCTTTTTTCAACAAGTCGGCCGTCTCCCACCGAAGCAGGGTGATTAATAATAATATGTACTATTATTATTTATAACATATATGTTATTAAATACATACATGTTAATAATAATACATGTTATTAATAATATGTACTATTATTATTTATAACATTTTTTTTTTTTTTTTAACAAGTCGGCCGTCTCCCACCGAGGCAGGGTGACCCAAAAAAGAAAGAAAATCCCCAAAAAGAAAATACTTTCATCATCATTCAACACTTTCACCACACTCACACATTATCACTGTTTTTGCAGAGGTGCTCAGAATACAACAGTTTAGAAGCATACACATATAAAGATACACAACATATCCCTCCAAACTGCCAATATCCCAAACCCCTCCTTTAAAGTGGAGGCATTGTACTTCCTATTTCCAGGACTCAAGTCCGACTATATGAAAATAACCGGTTTCCCTGAATCCCTTCACTAAATATTACCCTGCTCACACTCCAACAGATCGTCAGGTCCCAAGTACCATTCGT